GTGGTGTTGCCCAATGCAACAATAGCTCCTTTCTCCTCCACCCTTTAAGTCAGAAGAACTTTCACTACTAGAGATTGCTGTGATCCCATATGAATTTGAGCCCTATTGGTTCCATTTCATTGACGAACACCATTGTGATTTGTGTTGGAATTGCATGGAATCTGTAAATTGCATACAAATAGGAAGTCACATCTAGGTTTGTTACGTTTTTCCAATTATGGAACATTCATAAAACGAGTGTTAATAAAAATGTAGGTGTTATTTTCTGTAATTTCTAAAAAGGTGTTGTTTTCTATGATTTCTAAAACAGACAAAGTAGGTCTGTTCTCTAGAGATGAAGAAAGGATGTTTCAGATGGAAAGGCAATGGCATTTTATCATAGAGTAGGTGACCAGTTATTGATCGTATAATATTAGGATATTAATCCACATTTCTGCGGATGGAACGCTCAGTAAGATCATCCCTTTGTCACCTGCTTCATAGTGCCACCAGAGAAAATGTTGCACTTAAGTGACTTACTTGCACGCTTTATAAGGAATCAAGGAGAGGAATTAAGTCAGGAATTCAAAGGTGAAACTGGAAAACATGAAGTTGATAATGAAGTTAGAGCCACGTCTCTGGTCACGTGTGTCTGTAAAATCTACAGTCCTCGATTGCGGGCTGGTCACCCCCACTGGACAAGGCAGGGCCAGACCCACTGATCCACGATGGTCCTTTCTGAAGCTGGGCCTGGGGTCTGACTTTGTACCTGGCGAGCAAGGGCACTTTGCTGCTGTCTTGGGCGGGTTGGGTCACGTCCTCCTATCTTTGCCTCCCTGGGGAGAGGAAAGGGAGGAACCAGATGTGTCCCGAGGGCTGTCTGCAGTCCTTCCCTCGGTCCTCGCTGCCTCACAAGACACCTGTTTGTCATGTCATTTATACAGCCTCAAAAATCTCTTCAGTGGCTCCCACTGTCCGCGCTCAGGCTAAAGTCCAAGCCTCCAGACAAGCTGATGAGAGTCTTGCCATCTGCTCCTGCTGTCTCAGGCGCCGCGCCCCTCTCTGACAACCTCCTTCTCTCCGGCTTCCCCATTCACCTGACCGAGTCCGTGTCAAGGGTCATTCCGCAGCAGCCCTGCTGGTCGCCCCCTCGGCCAGGAGCATGTCAGGTGTCCCTTCCAGGGAAGGCTGTGGCGTCTCAAGCTCCCTGTCACAATTCTTGTGGGTCTGTTGAGGTCCCTGTGTCCCCGATTGCTCCTGAGGGTGCTCTGAGCTGTGGGCTTGGCTCAGCCCGTGTCCTCATCCAGCAGACAGTGGGCGCTCAGCAACAACAGGTGAAGGGGTCTGTCTGCCTCTCAAGTCGAGGGGATACTTTCCTTGTACAGATAAGGAAATGGAGGCGCAGGTATTAGAGGAAAAACTATCTTCCCCACCTCCAGGCCTCCCTGATGAGCTTAGAACCTTCCATTTTGTCAGAGCGGGGGGTCTCTGGCTCTGGCCTGTCGGCTCCTCTCTCTCCCCAAGTCGGTGCAGGCAGAGGCACAGCTCTGGTGCCTGCTGGGGGAGGTGCTGGGGCAGCCCTGCCCGCCTCTCTCTCAGCAGTCAGGGCCCTCCTGGAATGACCCTGCCAGGCAGGCGCTCATCCCTGTGGGCAGTGAGGAGAGGGTGCGGTTGTTATACCCCCAGGGCTGGGCTTCCAGCCATGGGGAGGGTGCATGTGCTCAGAGAGTCTTTGCAGCTTCTGTCCCAGGCGGTGACCAGCTCCAGCGGGACCCGGTGTGGTGGGCAAAGCTGCAGGGAGAGCTCCGGGTGGAGCGCGGTGCATTTTTACCTTGTTCCATTGGTCCTCCTCCGCTCAGAGCGCTCAGAGCACAGCTTCACGCGCAGGTGGGTCTCCTGGGCCCCCCTCCACAGTGCGGGTTCTGACCCAATGGGTTGCTCAGGAGTGAACCTGGACCTCTGGTCTCCTCCATGCCCACAATACAACCTGCCAGCGCCTGGCGGTTTCCACATCCAGCCCTCCCTCCTCTGGGTCCTCCCGACCAGTGCCCCCCACTCTGCCATCGGCTGCCCACAGGAGATGCTCCTCACTCTCCCCTCCCTCTGGGCTCCCCTACTGCCCAGATGGAAGTGCAGAGGGTGCTGCCCCGCTGGGTCCTGCAGGACCAGGTTCCGGCCCCCACCCCTGCTGGCCCCACTCCCCCTTAACCATCCCCCCCACCCCGCAGGCCCAGGCTGGGACTTCACTCCAAGTCTTACGGGAGCCTGGCCAGGGCAGGATGGGACTCACGGTGGTGACACCCACCCAATGGTCCCAATGCATCATGACGGTGTGGAAATTCAAAGTGAGCTACAGGTAAATAGCTCACGTTTCTTTGGAAGATGGTGACAATGTAAAAAATTAAGATGAATGGGGAAGGCTCAAGTGTCCTCACGTCTGGGGTGGAAATGTTGGTGAGGATGCCCATTTTGTGGGGCCTGTGTGCAGTTCCATTTCAACATTGCTTAAATGGGTTGAGACTAGAACACCATTGTTGCCATTGTTGCTACCTTGAAAGTCACCGTGTCAGAAACAATAATGGTCATGGATTGATATGGCAATACCAGTCTGCTCTGTGTCAGTGGCTTCCTTTCATTGACAGTGGACAAAATTCATTTCAAGGGTACCTTTTTAACAAAAATAAAATCCCCCTTTTTGAAAATGGGAGTTAAATATTCTTGGTATTCTTTCGTTCCTGGAATGCCTCTTGCTATTCTTATTTTTTTTCTTCCTTTTCCTTGAGCCTTAGCACCCTTTTCATTTACGAAACTTCTGACCTTGTACGGTTTACAAGTTTATGCAGAAATAAAACAACTGTTGAACTACCACAAAAGAATCTATATAAATCTGACACCACCATCTCTCCTGTCAGTGATGGAACCTCTGCTGAAATAGTCAATTTCTAGGATGAGACATAAAATGAACGAGTTCTGTTTGGCAGGACAGTAGATTTATATCGATCTTTTACAGTTGACTTGGAATACAGGATTTTCATTCTATTGTGTTCTCTATTTCTCTTTGCAAAGGCAATGAACTAGGAATATCTGATAAGAAATGACACCCTGGGATGTAGATTCTGAGGAGAAGATAGGCCTCTGAGGAGAAATACTGTAGAAAGGAGTGTTGAGGAGAATTATCTGAGGAGATATGACATGTTGGGAAGCAGATTCTGAGGAGAAGACAGGCCTCTGACGAGAAAATCTGAGGAGAAATACTGCAGTAAGTGGTGTTGAGGAGAAATATCTGAGAGAAATGACACCCTTGGAATCAGATTCTGAGGAGAAGACAGGCCTCTGAGGAGCAAAATCTGAGGAGAAATACTGCAGTAAGGAGTGTTGAGGAGAAGTATCTGAGGAGTAATGACACATTGTGAAGCACATAGTGAGAACACAGGCCTCTGAGGAGCAAAAAGTGAGGAGAAATACTTTAGTAGGAGTGCAGAGGAGAAATATCTGATGATAAATGACAAGTTGGGAAGCAAATTCTGAGGAGAAGACAGGTCTCTGAGGAGAAATACTCCAGTAAGCAGTGTTGAGAAGTACCTGAGGAGAAATGGCCCCCTAGGAAGCAGATTCTGAGGAGAAGACAGGCCTCTGAGGAAAAAATCTGAGTAGAAATACTGCAGTAAGGATTGTTGAGAAGTATCTGAGAAGAAATGACACTTTGGGAAGCACATACTGAAGAGAAGACAGGCTTCTGTGGAAAAAAACTGAGGAGAAATACTGCAGTAAGGAGTGTTGAAGAGAAATATCTGAGGAAAAATGACATGCTAGGAAGGAGATTCTGAGGAGAAGACAGACCTCTGAGGAGAAATACTGTAGTAAGGAGTGTTGAGAAGTACCTAGGGAGAAATGACACGTTGGGAAGCACATACTGAGGAGAAGACAGGCTTCTGAGGAGGAAAAACTGAGAAGAAATAATGTAGTAAGAAGTGTTGAGGAGATATATCTGAGGAGAAATGACACGTTGGGAAGCAGATTCTGAGAAGAAAGGCCTCTGAGGAGAAAAATCTGAGGAGAAATACTGCAATCATTCTTGTTGAGGAGGAATAACTGAGGAGAAATGACACCCTTGAAATCAGATACTGACAAGAAGACAGTCCTAGTGAAGAAAAATCTGAGGAGAAATACTGCAGTAAGGATTATTGAGGAGAAATGTCTGAGGAGTAATGACACATTGTGAAACAAATACTGAGAAGACAAACCTCTGAGGAGAAAAAAGTGAGGAGAAATACTGCAGTAAGGAGTGTTGAGGAGAAATATCTGAGGAGAAATGACCCCCTGGGAAGCAGATTCTGAGGAGAAGACAGGCCTCTGAGGAGAAAAATCTGAGGGGAATTACTGCAGTAAGGAGTGTTGCGGAGAAATGTCAGGTGAGAAATGACATATTGGGAAGCACAAACTGAGGAGAAGACAGGGCACTGAGGAGAAAAAAGTGAGGAGAAATACTGCAGTAAGGAGTGTTGAGGAGGAACATCTGAGGAGAAATGACATGTTGGGAAGCAGATTCTGAGGAGAAGACAGGCCA